TATTTTTGTGTGGAGGGGTTTTGGAAAGCATTAAGTCTTTAACATATTAACTATTCAAGCTGTTGACAAGAAAATTGACTAACTTGAGTTCATAAGTATTTCTAATCACATTGGTAATTTGTGTGCCACTTTTTAAATGATTTTTAATTAAAGTATTTTAATTGCATTTTTTTCCAAAAGGGGACATACCAAAAGAATTGACAGCCTTAATCCAATATATGACTGCAGCAGACAACTTGTCAATGTTAATCTAGAAGAAAAGCGTAGAAAATGTTATTTCAGTGTCTGCTCAAGCAATTAAAAATTGCTCCTTTTTATATACTTATATCTTTGGGGGAGGGGGGTGTCTGTGTAGTGTGTATACATACATACATATATGTTAGTGGTTCTTATATAGATATACTGTATATTGACATTAGCTTGAATCCAATTTTAGTGTTAAAGCTAAATTGAAGCTAAACTTCAATTATAAGCTCATATTTAGGAAGGTTTATAACTGATGTAAAAGACTTGCTCAGGAACAAATCTTTATTGTAATTATGGTATTTTGGAAAGTAGACTGGTAACATTTATCTTTAGGGAGTGAAAAAAAAATCCCCAAACCTCATTTAATACCTGTTTCAGACATTCTCTTAAGATTTATTTAAAAAAAAAAATTATAGCTTTCATTTAGAAATGTTGACTGGAGTAGCAGTTGAAATGCCTTGGTAAATGCATCTCTGGGCAGATCTGGCTAATGCTTCTTGAAAATAGCTTTTGTGTGTTTGACATAGTGGGGCAGCTCTTTCAGCGTAGTTTACTGAGTAAATATATATTTAATGTTTTTAACTTTAATATATTGTTGCAGCTAGTCCAGAAAATGGTGAACAAAGTTTGAATATTCCAGCTCTCACTATATCATTCACTCAAATGCATCTTACTTTACAAGGGAAGAAGTGGGCAGTTAATAAAATTTTGAGTTAAGACTTCATTTTCAATAGTGAAATAAAAAACATAAGTATGCCTTGTTCCCCTATTTTTATAATATTTTAAACTGAGATGCCAGTGTTTTTGTACCATTTCTATGAATCAGGGTTCACATAGGGGCCTGACCATCTTAGTGTGCTTTATCAGATGGAAATATAATTCCAGATTCACTTTTACTCTTGTAGTAAAGCTAGTTGAAAAGGTCTTTAAGCTTTATTAAGTACAGTCAGCCTGCACAAATCTAGTTTCCATTCAGTTTCCTGTTTATGACTCTAGGTACGGTAGGATAACATTTCATTTTGAAGGATGGCCACCAACATTACAACAAAGATACTGACTTCTTATACAAGGGCTAAGCAATATATTTCAAAATCCTCTCCCATCCTCACGCCTAGCTGTTTTTTTTAAGAATTGTTTTGACTTTCCAGACTGTTGGCAACATTTTCTAAACAAGTAATATTTAACAACTTCATTGGTCAGTGCTGCTCCACAGAGATGGGGCAAGTTTGTTAATCTGTTTATCGGCATTCATCTTTGAAATCCCATAGGTTAATTTGTATAGAGAAGGATTTTCCTGGTGAGATAAATGTAATGACCATAATTAGTTCTTACTGCATCTGCTGGAACTACGAGGTGTTCAGAGGTCTCACAATGATCTTTTGTTGAACTGTAGACATGACTCTGACAAGTATGTTTGGTCCAGGGGCTGACCAGGTGCAACACTCATATTCTCTTACTCTTGAGAAACTCTATCCCTGTGAGAGAATTTTTTTTATCGTTTCTAAGGCCAGACAAAATTTCTTGGAGAGCAAATGCCATGATTGTTATGCAGAGCGGGATGGTAGTTTTGCTGATTTTTAGAAAGTTTCAGCATTCATCCCAAAATTTCATGGTGCATCAAAGGGGGGCACATTATGACTACGAGTTTACTCATGTGCTGCAGGTACAGCTTACAGTACTCATCTATTTTTCACCCTCTAGTAGCTCAGTGAAATTCTTTTACTTCTTTGTTGTGTTGTGCCCAGGTTCTTGATGTCAGTCATGTGAGCCTTTTAGTGATGTTAATCACTGTTTCGGACTAAACATTTGGACATGTAGATTTCAAAGAGAGCTTCCATTTAGCATATACAGGATGTAAGAGGAGTTAGAGCATTTGTAAATTCAGATAGTGAAGCTCAAGTGCACAGATTACATTTGCATCCATATGTTGGAAAAATAAAGATTTTGATTTAGAAATTACTAGATATTAAATACTACTGTTCTGTTGAGTGTGAAAGAAGTCAAAATATTAAGACAAAGCCCTACTACACTTGATAGATTTCTGAATTTCACACTTGTTTGTTTCTAGTGAAACTTAATTAGGGGTTAGAATAGCCAGAGGATTATGGAAGAGCTGTGGCTGATGAGGGATTTTCATAAATCTATATGATGCAAAGGCTTTAGTGCTTGTTTCAGTTTTTTCCCACAGAAATAATGCTATTTAGAAATTATTCCTATAGAGAGATTAATGCAATGAAAACACAACTATTTTCAACCTTACCATTTTTATATCATGTTGTTCTCAATTGTGATCCCTGAAGATGCATTTAATATGGGGGAGGGAGTTTGGAGGGGGGATTTTCTTCGTATAATGATATACAATTTGAGAGACATTTTAGTTTATTGCTGTTACATATACAAGAATGACAGGGTAATTAAAGATTCATTTGGGATATCTTCTAAACAGCTGGTGAAGCAAGGCAAGGATCTGTGGAGTAAGAGCCACTTTTATCTATGCTTGCTCTTTGGAAGAACTGTTACAAAGTCCAAATGCCCACGGGCAGTGGGCTGAAAACAGAAAAGCTTCTGTTTGCAGTCGCAGTATCTTGTGAGATTAGACTGATTAAATAGAATATAACTGCCATTTCATGGATAGAAATCCTCTGAGGAGCAATTTGTGAGTTGCAGGAAAGCAAAGATAAATACAAAGTACACAGTGCTTTTCCTCTTGTGTCCAATAAACCTGAGGGATGCTGTCTCTCATCATAGTTCAAATCGGCAGTCTGTTTTCTTTGATTTCGTATGTTCAGTAAGATTGCAGCCTTAATATTGCTGTGAAGTTTGACTAGCTAGTAACTGCAAAAGATTGAGCCTCTAGGATAATGTCTCTAAACTGTTCAGTACACACAGGATACATATTACTTTTTCTTCTCCAGCCATTTGGTGTTCTGGATCTGTTGGCTTCTTTATATAGGTTGCAGTTTCTAAGCAAATTCTCCAGTTGTTGATCTCCAAGCATCTGCTTTGCCCCATACTCGAGCTGGATTCTCCTTCAGGGTTGCTTTTGTGTTTTGGTGCTCAGTTTTTATGGCTTTCCCATGGCAGATTCCTTTGGGCTTGTTGGATAGTATTAAATAGAGGAGCAGAGCCACTGTTGTAGAATTGCAAGGAATTCTTCAGTACTCTCATGATGTGTACCTTCTCCTAGGTGGACACACTCTGACTTCTGTTTAGCCTTCCTGTTCAGCACATATGGTGGGGTCTCACTCCATATGGAGTAGGATATTATAGCAGCAAGAACCTTCAGTCTGTTCTGGTTGTCAGTTGTGGAAAGACTCCTTGCTTAGGAAAGCAGGTGTAGCAAGATACTGGCTGCAACTCTGCAGGACAGTTCCAGGACAGCAGTAGTATAAAATCTTCTGATGATATTAACCACCATGCCTTCTGCCTCTGCATGTTGCTCAGAACCATTCTTCTGCTCTCCACCCATATGCTCAGTTATAGAGAATCTGATTATCCTCTCTTCGGGAATCCTAAATCAGACCTCTGTAACATGATTACAATTTTCAGCATCCTGTTATGGCCGGAGAGGAGAGATACTAAGTGGGCATTCAGCTCAGGAAATTTGATTGCAAGAGGAATCCATAAGTGAGAGAATAGTTTGTCAGTAGCACAGAGTATAAGATGCATGTCACTACTGGTTGTTCCATTACTCAATCTAAACCTAGCTAGCCATCATGGCTGCTGACAGATCTGGGGAGGGGGAAAGAAACCCTGGCGCTTTATTTTCAGTTTGATGTGTCCCTATGCCACGTGCAGCACATTCCCAGAAGAGGAACCGCATTAGTTTGATCAGCTGATTGAATCAGTTATTATATAAGTGCCAAAACCACTACTGAAATGCCCAATATATACAGATGCTGGGGAGCCAAGTCATACTAACGCAGTTCCTCTTCCAGTAAAGCACCATTTCTTTTTATCACGGACAGCAGCAGCCCATAACAGTACCTTGTTTTACAATGATTAACCAAGTACTTGAAGTATAATTAAATTGGGATCCATTGCATGAGGTATCCTGAAATGGTTGAGGTAGGGCCCAAATTGGATTGGGGTAGGATTAGCTAGTCTGTCTACACACACTGGGATTAGCAAAATAAATCCTTATTAGTCCAAATTAGTTGATATTTAGTGTAGCCAAACCATTCCTAACACGCACCTTGGGCCAGATTCCAATATCAGCACTGAAGCAATTGTTTTTCCCCTTGCATTGGAGTTTGAATATTAATTAGTAGTTGTACATAGCTGAACAACAGGCTAATTTTTGCTTCTTATAATTCATTTGATTCATTATACCTCATAAATTTTGTTCCCACCTACCCCAGCTCTGATTTTTTATTTATTTTTTTTACCCTGAAAGATAGATGCCTACAGCAAGGATTTTCAGGTATATATTTATAGGTGCATTTTAACTTAAGGGGGATGTGTCATATATGTGTCATTTTGCTCAGCAGAAGGCAAACAAAAACCATGGGTACCTTTTGAATTTCACTTAATCCCTATTTCAAGGACTTGCATGAATAAGCCTTGTGTCTGTGCTCTGTATGTAGAATGAGCTCCAAATGGGACAAAAATTTGTTTTGTTTTTTTCCTACCCTGTAAGTTCTGGAGGTGTGGGGGACAATATTGAGATTTCTCTTGATAGTTGTTGCTTCAGTACTCAATTACCAACAAGGTTTTAAGGTGGTGATATTTTTTTGTTGTTGTTGTTGTTCCAGAAAACTGAGAAGTGGGAAAGTGAAAAGACTGATGCAGACATGGAGGAATATATCTGGGAAAATACCTGCTCTCAGAAGAATGTCTTGGACACACTTCTGCGAATAAAAGCTGCAGAGAAAATCAGTGATGTGCCTAGGGAAGAACTGCTTGCTTCTGAGATAGTTGAGAATTACAAAAACTCTGTGGTCCTGCTTAAAAACGAGGGGGAAACAGAGGATAACATGTCTAAGTACAAGGAATCAGTGAAGAAACTGCTGAATCTGCAAGGATTCCAATGAAAATAGACTTGCTTAAGTATAAAGGTGAAAATATGTATTAATACCTTTGTATAAAATTCAGATTAGCTATCCATAATGTCTAAGCATCTTCCTTCTTCAAGTTTTTAAAAAATTAACTAAACCCAAATGCAGGTGATTATCCAATTCGGAAAGTATCAGCGATGCTTAAATTCAGTCATGGGGAAAGTTTATAAACTATCATGGTCCACAAAAGTCATTTGTGTATGAATAAAACTTGTATTAGTTCTTGTCTGGCAAGCTATCAAAATGAATGCCCATTGCTTTCAATTTGCCATTCAACAAGTTCTAGCTAGTCTGGAACATGGTGGATCCATAACCAGTCTTTTGATCCATCAGAAATTTAAGCATGACTTTGGGCAAGTCACCATGGGTACAGTCATTAAAAAAGTATGTAAGAGATTTTGGGCTAACAAGTTCCACTGACTTGCAATGAGACTTAAATTCATGTGTGACAACATTCACTTTTAGAATGGGAGTTGGTACCTAAACCGCTTGGGTACTTTTGAAAATGTGACCCTTAGGTTTTCTGTGTGTCTGTTCTTTGGGGATAATATTTCCCTGCCTCTAAGGTATTGGAAAGATAAAGATCTATTGGAAAGATAAAGTTAAACATGTTGATGCTCATATATTATGCTAGGACAGAGACTGGCAACCTACACTCAACCAAGTCACTGGATCCAGCCCACAGAGCTAGGGTTTTCTTGGGTAACCTTGGTGGCTTGTGGCTTTGCCCATGCCATGCTGCAGCCGGGTAGCGGGGAACTTTTTGCATTTGCAGCACCACAGTCAGGCAGTGGAGAGAAGCATAAGTGTAGAAAAGCAGTGGTGGCAGCCGGGTCCTAGTACCAGCGTGTCAGACCCACCCTGGGCTGTTCCAGCCTACTTGCCATAAAATATTGCTGACACCTGTGCTAGAAAGCCAGATAAGCATCTTGAATAGAAATGGTATGCCCAATGGAAAAGGAACAGGATAAGGTAAACCTTGAAATAGGAAATAGACAAACTAGTGGGTTGAAGGCTAATGAGAATTGTTTTCCAGGATACCATCATGCATAAAGAAGGAAAAAGGAGAAAATGGAGGTTGGAAGCATACAGCATAAAATCTTTGTATGCCTATATAAGATGTATATAGAATAAGTAAGCAAATAATGTATTGTTGCATGAACAAAAGGGATTTTAATGAAAGGACGTAGACTGTTAAATGAGTGAAGTATAAATTAGGGTATGACATTTTTGGTACAGGAGGTGTATTAACCTGTCTATCATGAGTGAACCTGGAAACTCTTGGTGTGGGAAACAGTTGGTTCCAGCTGCTTGTTACCAGGAATAGAAGAAAACATGATATGAATGAGTATTATTCCTTTGATTTTTATTTGAACAGAAGTGATGTTGAAAACCAAAACTTCCAACAAGTTTCAGGTACACAACACTGATCAAAAATAGTTTCTTTAATAGAAACAAATATTCAGGAAAATTAGTCGTACAACTGATTTGGTTACTCTTCTTTCTTTCGTTAAAAAAGAAATCTCAAAAATAGAATGCATAGCTAATTATGCCAAGAGTTTGACTTTCAGGTTTACAAAAATAATTCCTGTGTTGGGGGAAAGGGGTGTTAATCAGAATTAGATATTGTAAATCCTTGATATGTAATAAGGCCAAACTGATAACCTAATGCTCCACTCCCCAGCCACAGCTAGTTAAGAGGAAAACAGTTAAGAGCATGGGTATGAACCCTGGCTAGGGAGGAGGAAAATTATTTCTGTATAATGTTATTTGGGACTCCACGGGAAGCCTTCTGACTGGCTTCAATCTTTTGACATTAAGGCCTCTATATACTGCAGCTCATGTCATATGCACAGGTGGCTAGTGTCTCCCTTCTTAAGGGAGTGGCATTGTCATAAGGATTCTGTCTAGTAGGACGCAATTTTCCATATAGACAGAAGTCTCTTTAAAAAATGAATATTCGAATCATTGCTACAGAATCCTTATAATTGCTACTATCAAGATTTTTTTAATCTTTGCATGACCGTCCTATTTTCAGTCTTGTCACATCATAGTTATTCACTTTCTAGACAAATTTTCCCTTCTTTCAGCTCTGCACCAAGGTGAATTTTATTTCTGAAAGGTTGAGCTGTTGCGGGGAATGGTCCAGCTGTTTTTGAAAGAAAGGAGAGAGGAGGTGAAAGTAAAAACATTTTTCCATTTGAAGAATATTTGCTTGTTGCAATTTTGACTTGGAAGATACCATGAATTGTTGAAGAATGTCTGGCTTTTTTTCTACTTGACTGGGCCTGAAGGCAGAATCTGTCCATTAATATAGTTGTACCATCTGTAGAGCAATGGGGACCCTCAAGTACTATGATGACATTGTGTAATGTACATTTTTATAACCTTAATTGCTGATCTTTATCTGCTAGGGCATATTACCCTTGCAAAGCAGAGTCTACAAAAGACTGTTCTCTGTTTAGACAGGTGCAAACAGGGGAAGTACAATAACAAATGTACAGGTCTGCATAGCACCTTATTCGTATCAGTGATGCTTCATTAATGTGTTGTAATGCATCGGCAGCATTCTAAAGCTTACATACCTTCACCTTATTACATGGGGAAGTGTTTCATTTAAAGGTAGAGATAAATGTAAATCAAGAAACTGCTAGCTTTGTAAACCTGATTCAGTAGTTTGTGGAAGTAATATTTGAACTTTATTAAAGCATGAAAAGAGCACTTGGCATTCTACCATCAGACAAAGAAGCATTGATGATGTCTACAAACAGTGGGCCTATTATCTCACAGCTGGCCTTTTCCAGCCAGGAGCAGCATGGAGCTAGTGCAGGAGTAATGGCCACAGGTACTTTCAGGACTTCAGTGAATATTATAGGCTGAAACATCATCAGACAAGGCTACTAAATGTGTTCCTTTGGGACCACTGTCCTGTCCTCACAGATGCAGATTTCTCATTCTAAATGCAACAGTTTTCTCTGAGGGAGAAAAAATCTACTTGCAGTGAGAAAATTCTCACTCCAGTGGAAGCAGCTCATATTAGCACTGCCTTTTTAGTGCTTACCTATATGGTCTTGGAATCCTTGTTTCTTCTTTGCACCTTATTTTTGGACATTATCATATGTACATACATACCACACATACCTCTTCCCAAAAATTAGCTCTCTAAAATTGGGATACATCTTTATGAGAGGAAGCTGATCTCCACACTAAAGTGGAGGCATAGGGATGCTAGAATGGCTGCTAGGGATGTTCTGGGCTCTATCAAGGAAGGATGGAGGTCCAGTCCCTCCTTGTCACTCACTTGCTAGCTACAGCTCCAGAGGTACAAGTTTAACCCTGTCACTGCCAAATTGGCAACAGCTTTTGGCCAAGGAGGGTTAAACTTGTAGCTCTGGAGCTGCAGTTTAGAGCGTGGGTGACACTGACAGCTGAACTATGCCCATCTTGTATGTAACCAGAACATTCAGCCATGTTGATCCCAGGCTGTGACGGTTAAGATTCTAGAAAAACAGTTTTTCTTCATCTGCCTTCCCAGAGCAAGTTGCATGTCTTATATGTGAGGGTGTGATATGTGAGTAATATGATACTACTTTACCTCCCCCCCCCCGACTTTGTCTACTACTCATTTCTTTTGCAGAGCCCAGAAGCACTTTTTATTTCAACCAGGCCTTTCTATCAAGTGTTGGTATAGGCTTTCCAAAGTCACCTGGTTTCAAACTCTGTACCTCTTGCCTCCCATAGATGGGCACATCGAGTGCCTTCCCTGCTTGAAGGGGTCCCAGGTCTACAGGAACCATGCAAGGTGATCACTTCCTAGACCAGGAAGGAGTGTGAAGTCATATCTCAGGTTTACCTCCTGCCATCATCAGGCTCTGAACCCAGAGTGTAGGACTCAATTGGGAGCAGGCCTTCCAGGGAGCAAATTCCTCCTCAAAGACTATCTTCCACACAGTGCCAAAGATGAGCTTCCTGGTGAGCATCAGCCTGGAGACTGTTCCAGAGGGAGACTGCCATTGCAGGATCCTCGAGAGAGATTCTTTACTTCACTTCTAAACTTCATGGCCCCATGAAGAATATTGACAAAGCTCAGAAATATCCCTTTCTTAGAGCTACCAGTGTGCCTTCCTGGAGACTCCCCCTCATCAGGCCCTAAGGAATTAAGCCCCCAAGGTTCCTCCTTCAGCACCTAGTTATCATGGAACCACCTTCTTGGCACCAATCCTTATTTCAGTAGTAGTGCTTGCTCCTCTACTGATACTCTGTTTTCTCCCTACAGCCTTCTGCTATTCTATCCCATATACTAATGGCAATTTCTCCAGAGGTTCTGTTTCTGTTCTTTGGTTTCCATGTGACTAATCTGACATGCCCCTTCCTAGCTGAGGAAGTTTTGGTTTCCAGAGCTGCTGCTCTTGTTGGAGAGAAGCCCAGGACTGCTGTTCTTGGACCAGCTTTTCCAGAACAGGAGGACACTCCAGAAATATCTGCATCCCCTTACCTTCATAGCCTCAATGCTGGAAGGTTCTCAATAATGAAGTGGGCCTGCTTACTCCATCAGGGACATTATTGATAACTGAAGATACTCTACTAAATGATCCTACCTACCTGTCATTCAAAGCTTCTCTCCCATTGTAAGGTTGTTACTGGAGGTATATTAGACTACTACACAAAACAGAAGCAAAGTGATCTCAGTTGTTATCACAATGTCACTCTATTATTATAACTTGTCACCTAGCCACAGAGCGTCAGCCTTTTCTACCCAGCAGTATTAAAGTTCCCCAATTATGACAAAACATATTCCTGGTGATAAGAAATGGGTCCCTCAGTGCAACCTGAATTTAAAGTTTATGGTCTTAGTGAACACACATTTGTAATGAAGGTAATTTGCTTGCTTTCCATGTGTCCACGAAGGTGGCTTTGTTGGTGTCTAGCACTCCATCAGAGAGAGAAGGGCAAGATTCAAGTGAGATCTTTGTAAATAAATAAAAAGAATTAATTAAAACTCGCTCCCAAGTTTTAATTTATTTGCAAAATATGTCTTAAGCAGCAGATGTGATTATTGCTTTTTCTTGCATAAACCTCACTTCCTGAGAGCTTGCATATTTTTCCACAAACTGATTATCTTTTCTCTGTGTAGGACTCTAAGCCATTTTTGGGAAATTTTGGTTATTTGTACCCAGTAGTTCAGAGATCAAAGGACTCCATTGATTTTTCTACCCAGAGACTTTACAGTGGATAATCATAATATATCAATATGTTCTACCCAATAGAATCATAGAAAATTAGGGTTGGAAGGGACCCCAAGAGGTCATCTAATCCAGCCCCCTGCACAAGGCAGGACATTCCCAACTAGATCATTCCAGCATTGGCTTTGTCAAGCTGAGCCTTAAAAACCTCCAAGGATAGAGATTCCACCACCTCTCTAGGTAACCTGTTCCAGTGCTTCACCACCCTCCTAGTGAGAGAGTTTTTTCTAATATCCAACCTAAACCTGCCTTGGTGTAACTTGAGATGGTTGCTCCTTGTTCTGTCATCTGCCACCACTGAGAACAGTCTAGCTCCATCCTCTTTAAGACCACCCTTCAGGTAATTGAAGGCTGCTATCAAATCTCCCCTCAAATCCCACTTCTGCAGACTAAATGCACCCAGTTCCTTCAGCATCTCCTTAAAAGTCATGTGCCTCAGCCCCCAAACCATTTTGTTGCCCTCTGGTGGACTCTCTCCAACTAGACCACATCCTTTCTATAGTGGAGGATCCAAAACTGGACACACTACTCCAGATGTGACCTCACCAGTGCAGAGTAGAGCAGAATAATTGCTTCCCTCGATCTGCTGGCAACAATCCTACTAATGCAGCCCAGTATGCTGTTAGCCTTCATGGCAACAAGAGGCACACTATTGGCTTTTATCCAGCTTATTGTCCACTGTAACCCCCAGGTCCTTTTCTGGAGAGCTTCTGCTTAGCCAGTCAGTCCCCAGGCTATAGGAGTGCATGGGATTGTTCCACCCTAAATGCAGGACTTTGCATTTGTCTTTATTGAACCTCATGGGCGTATTCACATGAGTGTGGACACTTGTTTCCCTGGGGACACCCATGCCACATGCTTTGCCGCATGGCAAGCTATATCTGGTAGGGTAGGGGAGGCTGGGGACAACACTGCTGGCCCCAGCAGCCTTACCTGGGGTTCTGGGGTCTCCCAGAGCTGCAGCAGTGGCAATTCTGCCACATGGAGCTGGGTCAGTAGCCTGGAGCTGGGTCAGTGGCCACAGTGCAGCTCTGGGTGGCCTAGCTCCGCTTCTGAGCAGTGTTCACTGTCTACATGTGTACTGCTTCGCTTTTTGTTTTTCCACAGGGTTTTTTGACCCTGGCGGTCAGAAAAACATTTAAAAAGTGGAGCAGCGCACACGGGCAGCACTCCCTTGCAGTCTGGAGAATATCTGAATATGCAGTATGTGGTGCCACCTGTGTGTTTGCAGTACCACATAACACACAGCCGCATTCCTCTGGACCCAGCCCATGAGATTTCTTTTGGCCCAATCCTCCAATTTGTCTAGGTCACTCTGAATCCTAGCCCTACCCTCCAGTGTATCTACTCAACCCCCAGTTTGGTGTCATTCAGGAACTTGCCAAGGGTGCAATCCATCCCATCTTTCATACCGGTAATAGATTTCATAGACATTAGGGCTGGAAGGGACCTCAGAAGATCCTCAAGTCCAGCCCCCTGCCCAAAGGGCAGGAGGTCAGCTGGGGTCATAGGATCCCAGCAAGATAAGCATCCAATATACTTTTGAAGGTGTTCAATGTAGGTGCTTGAACCACCTCCGATAGCAGGCTGTTCCAGACTTTGGGGGCTCGGACAGTAAAGAAATTCTTCCTTATGTCCAGCCTGAAATGGCCTTGCAGGAGTTTATAACCATTCAACCTAGTAATCCCTTGGGGCGTTCTGGTGAACAAATGTTCCCCCAGATACTAATGATGATATTAAACAAAAGCTGCCCGAGGACTGACCCTTGGTACACTCCACTTGATACTGGCTATCAGCTAGACATTGAGCCATTGATTACTACCCAATAACTAAAGTGGTTTTCAGTAGTTACAATACTCTGCCTCAAACCCACAATACAGTAGCCTTCCTTTGTAACATCTCCATGCCAGACATTTGAAGCCACCTGAAGCTCTAAAGGGCTTCAGAGTTTATGGCCCATTAGCTTGTTCTGTCATTTTCCTCTTCCTTGGAGTCAGTGATGACCTGTAATTCACACCCCACTCCCAGCCCTGGTTGAGAGAGCTGAACAGAGGAAGTAGGGGAACAAACACTGCCCTTTAGACCCTTAGTATAAAGCACAAGATAAGGCGAAGCATGTGTACATTGCATAGATAATTCAGGGGCAAAAGTTTATTTGAACTAGACTGCTTGAGGTTCATAAGCATGCACACCTTGAAATGTGCTATGTGGAAAACACTTCCCAAAGGCCTCTTATTACTGTAGTAATTAATATCTTTATTCACCACCTGGAACAGGTCTGTTCCTATTTTGCCAGTGTTATGATATAGGCTTCCTCTGTCTCCCTCATAGCTGCTTCTTTAAAAAAACAAAACAAGACAATATAAAACCCTATGCATGTTGTAGTTGGTCAGTCAGTTGGTCTCAATATTCTAGTCATTTCCTCACTTTGTCATAGCATATCTTCAAATCACAGGGACCTGTCAGTGTAGCAGGAAAGAGGACATTTAGGAACCACTGTATTAAGGCATGCAGATTCAACATTTTCATATTTCACAGTACCATTGAAAATAGGCAGCTGGTATCACAGTATATTCCATCACGGTGTTCAGTGGCCTAGAATACTCGTCTTAGACAAACCATTATTCAAAAAAAGAAACAGTCTGCTGCCCTAATCCAGGGGCAGAAGCAGGGAAGGTTTTGGAAGTTCAATTGCACCCCACTTCAGTTTCTGCTTCACTGAAAGTTTAAAACAAACTGCCTGGCTTGGACAGCTGTGTTTCTATTCAGGTGGAATTGAGGGAGTCAATAGACTTCATAGCTCATTGTTATCTGCTTAATTTCTGCTAACAACTTCTCTCCATAGGTATTAACAACCCTTAGAATCATAGGAAATAAGGGTTGGAAGGGATCTCAGGAGGTCATCTAATCCAACCCCCTGCTCAAAGCAGAACCAGCCCCAACTAGATCATCCCAGCCAAAGCTTTGTCTAGCCAGGTCTTGAAAACCTCCAAGACAAGATGGAGATTCCGCTACCTCTCTGGGTAACCTGTTCCAGTGCTTTATTACCCTCCTAATGAGAAAATTCTTCCTAATGTCTAACCTAAACTTCCCTTGCTACAGCTTGACGCTGTTGCTCTTTGTTCTGTCATCTGCCACCACTGAGAACAGTTAGCTCCATCCTTTTTGGAACTATCCTTCAGGTAATTGAAAGCTGCTATTAAATCACCTCTCAGTCTCCTCGTCTCTAGACTAAATAAATCCAGTTCCCTCAGCCTGTCCTCAGAAGTCATATGCCCCAGCCCCCTCACTGTTTTATGTTAGCCACATACTTTCTGTGTTGGGGGGCCCAAAACTGAACACAGTTATCCAGAGCTAGCCTCACCAATGCTGAGTAAAGGGGAATAATCATTTCCCTTGACCTGCTAGCAACACTCTTACCAATGCAGCCCAGTAAGCTATTAGCCTTCTTGGCTACAAGGGTGCAAAAGGGCACCCTTGATCTTCCTCTAATCAAGCTAGCCTTCCTTCTACAATGATCCTGTCTGTTATCTACTCCTAGTAATGGTTCCTTGCTCACCTCCCATCATGCCCAGTAAAGGTGTGTTACTACCTAGGAACCTGTACTGGGTGGCTCTGTTCCTAGGGGATTTGAACCCACAAGAAATCAATCAGAGATCGGGAGGAGAGAGGCAGGGCCAAAAGCAGGCTGAGCTGTGCAGTGGTCAGAGGCAGAAGGGAATTGCAACGGTGAAACAAAGATTACATTATTCTAATGACCCTTTCCTGAATTATTTGTTGCAGCAGGTAATGGAAGCTGAACCAGCTGAACCAGTTCCGTGTGCAGCCAGGCTGATGAATAGCAGTTGTACCTGCTCAGCAACAGGTGCCTGTGCTACCCAGGAGCTGGCAGTCAGCACAGACTCAGCTATGCTTGTTTTTATTTGGATGAGAGACTGAATAATAGCGCCCTAGGCCTCTAGCATATTAGTAACGCTTCTAGTTTCTTTTTCAGTGGAGAAGAATATACGTTGTGACTAATATATAGGCTCACCACCCTTCAATGCAAATGTGACAGGTGGGCAGGACCAGAAGTCCTGCCCCTTAGCTCTGCCCCCTTTCCCCTTGTGCGGTGCATGATGTCACCAGTCCTGCCCCCTAACCCCAGTCACATGGTGCATGACGTCACCAGCCCTGCCCTTGACCCCAGTCACGTGGTGTGTGACATCAGCAACTCTGCCCCCACCCCCGGTCAGATGGTGTGTGACATCAGCAACTCTGCCCCCACCCCCAGTCACATGGTGTATGACATCGGCAACTCCGCCCCCACCCCATCACATGGTGTGTGACATCAGCAACTCTGCCCCCACCCCGTCATGTGGTGTGTGACACCACCACCACATGGTCCATGACATCAGAAGGACAGCCCATGCAGACCCCCAAAGCCCAACCCCTCATGCTGCAAGAACCACCCTAGATCATGTGGTACAGTTATGACCTATCGCCCAGGCCCCTGAAGCAGACGTTGAGAATTTGGAAGATGGTATCTTTGTGCCATGGTTTAAATTTGTCCTCAAGTGTTTGAATGCACCAGACAGGTGTTAGCGTGGGGTGGGTGTGGGGGAAAGTGGTTACCAGACATGTCTACACAGGAGGCTATGTTAAAGGAAGTTTATTACTCTCCTGGTGAAGCTGGCAGTTTTGGCGGGGTGAACACACTTTTTGAAGCCACCAAAACAATACAATTAACACCAATCCTGCTCTGCCCGAATTAGTTATGCACTATGACCAAGCGTTCAGGAACGTGAGACTTAAATCCAATGATAACTCTTCTGGTTTTTATACGCATGGTGAGCTAAGCTTATATTTTGGGAATGCTACCCAGAGTCTCTTTTAAAAAACCCACCCATCCACCTGA